GGGCTTCATTCTTGCATTCTTTTTTTGCAATGTTATCTTGGTAGTGGTTTTCGGTGCGTTGACTTCTGGTTGGAGCTGGGCTATAGGGCATTTTCCTCCTTGTGCTTGATGGATGTTGGTTTTCTGACCACAGTGAGTAGGCAAAGATTTCCCACAGGTTTGGATGTCTTATGGTGTATTATTTGAGATTTTCCTACTCTGGGAAGACTCTTACCTCACTGTGTATCTTAATATATAGTTTGGCAGGGTAAAGGATTGTCAGGTTGGCATTTTTTTCTTTCAGCTTTCTGAAGATGTTACTCCACTCTCTCCTCCTCTCATGGAATCTGCTGATAAGTCTGAGTATATTCTTACCTGAGCATCATTGTATGTGACTGCCTTTTTTCTCCTGCTGCCCTTAAAATGTTCTCTTTTTCCTTGAAGTTGGATAATTTATTATGTGCTTTGGTCGGTTCTTCCTGGGGTTTAGTCTATTTGGTGTCCTCTCTGCTTCCTGCATGAATGTCTAATTTTCATTCATTAAGGTGGGAAAATTTGCTTTCAGGAATTCCTTCACTGATTTAGTTGTTGATGTCTTCATTGTGTCTTGTTCTTGTAGAACAATTATTCAAATAGTGTTCCTTTTCATAGCTTCTGTCATTGTTCTTAGGTTTTCTTCCACCACTTTGATTATCTTGTTTGACTGTCTTTCCTGTTTGTTGAAGTCTGCCTGATTGTTCTTGCAATCTCTGATTTGATTCTCAGCCTCTTCTAGTCTCTTGGTGAGGTCCATGATCTTGTGCTTTGCTTCTGTTACCTCACCCATTAGTGCTTGCATTTTCCTTTGGTGCATGGACTTCATCTCCTCTACCCTGGACTTCATCTCCTATTATTGCTTCCTTATTTTACATTGCTTCCCTCATATCCTGTATTACTCCAAGCAGCCTTATTAAGATTTCTTTTTGTTTCAGGTCAACATCTGATTCTTCTATGAGTGCCATTAGGTTTAGGACTTCTTCCAGTCTTGCATTTTGTTTTTCTTATTGAAGGTGTTGAGGTAAGTTGCTGTCTGTGTCTTTTTTAAAGAACTTGGCACCAGGTTCCTGAGAGACTGAGGGGCCCTGTACTCTTTCTCTGTGTGATTGATGAGAGTGGTTTCAGGGACTACCTGTGGCCAACTGTGGTGGTAGGTTGGACTGATGTGTAGGAAATGTGCCATGGTGACTCAGTGGCTGCTGGTGATGGGGCCCCTCAGAAGGTAGGCTGAGGCTGGTGACTGTAAGTATGCTACTGGGCCGGGTTGGGGTGGGGTGGGTTGATAGAACAGAAATAGGTTTGGTCTGGACAGTCTGGCCACAATTTTCAGTCTTTTAAAGACTTTCTGTGGAGCCCCAAACTGAAAGAGCCAGTTTTTGGCTTGGGCTGTGGCTATCAGCATTTGTTGGCTTTTCCTGTTTTGTTATCTTAAAATCCTGGGCTGTTCTCTGGGGATTAGAGTACTACCTGTCTTGTTATGTTAATGCTATGCTAATGGCCATGTTTCTGGTGGCTTACATTCAAAGTTACACAAAGGAAGACAGCCTGAAATTGAAAACATTTTCTTTTTAAAATAATGGGCTTGTTGGGTGCCCTCTGTGCCATACCATCCCCCAGGGAAGGGAGACCAGATTAGCTGAGTGGGTTTGGTGCTGACTGGATCTGAATTCTCCCCCAGCTGCACTCTAGGGTCACTCCTGGCTCTCTCCTGCTCAGCTATGCAGGTCATGCTCAGGGGATCAGTGTTCTGTCCAGGAAAATATCCCAGGGGCTCTTTAATTGCTGTGAATTAGTATATAATTATGTATAGTTACCCACACCTGGTAAGTGTGGAGCTGGGGAGACAGGGAAGGGGTATGGGTGATGTAGTCACATTGTTCCTGGATGGGGAGGGGAGATGCAATGCCATGGAATGTAGGAGCAGGGAGGATAGCAGAGAGGGGAACTCCAGTGTGTGGTCTTGTAACTAGTCCGTGGAGGCTTTCTGCAAGTCTGAGATAATGACCACCTTCAGTTAGCAGTCTGGGTAGATTACTGCACCTGCAGGTCTTGCATCTTGGGCACAAGAAGGGGTGGCAAATGCTATCCCGCTGGACCTGGTGAAGGATTAGCAGAGCCTGTAGGCAGATGTGGTGAACTCAGATCATTTTACCGATTTCTCAAATTACTTTGTGGGCAAAAATCTCAGGGGGAGTCTGACCCAGACCCTCATACACTGAATCTAATTTTAGTACCCAGCCTTGCAATATTGGTCTCCTTGCCTCTTAATTTTCTGGCCTAACAACAGGAGCAACAGCTGGGAAGTTCTACCTGGACACCATTTGACTCCTCCCTTTCTCAGCATAATTTTTAATGAACAAATAATGAGCACACCTTTGAGGTCAGGAATGAGGCAGCGATGCCTGCTAACATTACTGTTATTTAATAATATTTGAGATATTAGCCAGTATTTTTAGACAAGATAAAGAAATGAAAAATCTACAAGTGGAGGTAAATATCACTATGTTAAGTGATTTAGCAATTTAGGTGATACTTGAATCAAATGAACAATTAAAACAAGTGATATAACTCAGTAGTATTTCTTGATAGGAGATCAATAGCTCTCATACACTAATAGAGCTTTGTGTCCAAGAAATGTTGTCATATGAAACAAGCAAGGTTTTTGGATGCAGTTTATGGATGCATCCATAAAGGTGTTAATGGCATATCACTCATATAATAAATTCATTTTGTATAGGAATATGTGTGAAATAAGAATGCACATTTATGTATTTTTGATATGGAAAATTAATACTGGAAGAACAAACAAGGGACTATTAAAAATGAACATATTTATGTACCTTTTCAAACTAAGAAGTCCTAAAAATCTTAATTTCTACAAATTTTATAAACCTAGTATTATAATTTCTAGATGGCTCAATATTTCTCAAATCAAAAAATGATTACTATCTTTAAACCTATTGTTTAACAATATTAAAATAATACATTTTTTGTGTAGGTAGGAAAAATAACCTTTTCACTTGGACTTCATGTTGGTTAAAATTGCACTTGTTCAAACTCATTACAATTGTTAAACATATATATTTTAATAGAGAAAAATATTAGGAAAGAAGTCTGTATATAAAGAGTAAATCTAATACTACATTATTAAACAAGGATTTTAAATACACAAGTCTTAAGTCATTGATTCAATCATCTATGTGTTAAGTGAGCATTATGTTTGGCATTTTGCTTGACCCTAAAGGCATGAATAAATAAAATTTTATGTCATACATTTCAGGTATTAGGGTATTTATATTTGTAGGATAAACATTTTTTTAATTTGTAAAATTCTGTAAACATAAAAGGAGTTAGAGTGTCTAGAATAAATAGCCATATATATGTGTGTGTGTGTGTGTAGGTCATATATATATATATGACCATATATATAGCCATATATATGTGTGTGTGTGTGTGTGTGTATATATATATGTAGGTCTTTTGGAAAGAACATGATGGTACATTGTTTAAGCAGTCAGCTGCTACCAAAAGGTCAACAATTATTAGGATCCATCAGTGACTCCATGGGAAAAAAGACCTGTTGATCTGCTCCCTTAGAGATTACACACAAGGAAAGCCATAAGGCAGTTCTAGTCTGCCATATAGGGTCACCATAAAGATGAATTGACTGCTCAGCTAATCACCACCATCTCGTTTTACAACTTTTCTTTATAGACTGTATACTTCTTACTCTGATTTTCTTGTCCCATTGGCATAACTTATTGCCTCATTGAGTAGTTCCTACTTCCTTTTCCTTTCATTCCTTTCCACACCAGAGACTGACTCTTTACTACTTCTCCCTACAGGTGAGCTCATCTGACTGCCTGTGTTAGTCTGGGTAGACTAGAGAAACAAATTCACAAACACGCATATGTATATAAGGGAGAGGTTTATATACAGAAGCAATTGAACATTGAGAAAACATCCCAGCCCAGTCCAGATTAAGTTCATAAATCTGACATTAACCCATATGTCCAACAGCAATCCATAAAGTCCTCTTCAGAGTCATGAAGCACATGCAATGATGCCGAATGCAGGACGATCACAGGCCCATAGGTAGAAACTTTTTGGATCCAGTGGCGTTGTAAGCATCTCAGTGATGGCAGGGGTCTCTACATGGCTTCTCCAGCTTGTCAGCTACCAAGTCTCCCAGGGAATAGCAGAGAGAGAGAGGTGTCTTCTGCCTCCAAAATAGAAGTACCAAATTTCCCAGAATTCTCAGGAGAAGGCCATGTCCACACAGAGGTCTCATTGGCTATGTCCAGATTGACAGCCTGGACTCTACCTCTACACTCTTCATCCTTAAATTGACACCCGATTAAGTGACGACCACACTGCCACATAGCCAGTTTCTAAAGCAGCACACTGCCTAGAACTCCAGGCCTCATTCATTCTTTCCAGACTCACCTTTTACAGCTCCTTATCCACATTTAGTCCATTTGAACAACTTACTGTCCAACGAGCCAGACCAGAATGTCTGTCCCCCCATTCACGCGTTACCACTCTCTCTAATACCTTTCCCTTCAACTTCAATTTCTTCCTGACCAAATCACAACTATCCTTGAATTAATTTATAATGCAACTTACACCTTCAGTGAAGACTTTTCTAACTTCATACTATCCTCTTTAGGTTGTAGCTCGCTGTACTTGAAACATTGCTTCACTCAATGGTGAAACAAATTGCAATCTGTCACACCCTTCCAGACACATCCACATGCCTTACTTTGTTCTGCAGAAGAGGCTGGAGGTGGTGGCTGAAGGGAATTATTGAAAGAGACTAACAATACACTATGAAAAACTGGTGAATTATGGGGGACTTGTGTCTGAGGGGAATTTTTCTTCTTATTAGTAAGAGATTCTGACCTAGCTTCTGTAATATTTAGAGCTAATTCCAAGTGTGCTTTCTTTGTTCACTAACATACCCTTTATGCCTTTCTTCTTCCCAGGACGTGACAGTCCCTCACAAGACTGTTTCTCTCCATCCTTTATATCAGACCAAACTCTATCCTCCTGCTAAGTCCCTGCTGCATCCTCAGAATCTGCCCCATGCTGACTGTCTTACCCCAGGACCATTCAGTCATTTGTCTTCCTTCTCACTGAGTGATGAACAGAATTCTCATACTCTGTTCAGTCACAATGCATATAATAAGGTGAGCGTCCCCTGCTGAAATGCGAGCTGTTCTATGCTGTGAACCTTCTTTCTGCTTAATTTGTAAAGTTTAAGTTTGGAGCATATATATATTAAGAATAGTCCATTTGGTTTTAAAACACATTGCCTGGTAAGAAGATGAAAATTGGATTTAGGGAACAGTAGCTTATTTTTATTTTGAAAGAAATTTCCTTATTTGCGTTCCTCATTGTTTCATGTTCTAATTTCAAGGTGGGGCGGGTTCTGGAGGATTTCCATGAGGTTACGATATATGATCTTTAATCTATGTTCTAGTTTTAGTCCAGTTTTTCCTTTAAATCTTTTAATCATATCTATTTAAATAACCAGCAGGGATTTTTTTGAAAAGGAAAGTTAACATTTTAGTTTTGAATCTGCCTCTATATCCCATCATACACAATCAATGATAGGCAAAAATAAATATGAGAGGGAAGGAAAAATATGTAAAATGTATTTATAGTTGGCTTTGTAATGTATGGACCCGGTGTGCTGATGGGTAAGCATTGGGCTACTCACTACAAGGGCTGCAGTGCAAACCCACCAGCCACTCTACCGGAGGAAGATGATGCTAACTGCTCCTATAAAGATCTATAGCCTCAGAAACTTTAAAGGTGGAAGCGACTTGGTAGCAGTGGGCTAAGTTTGGAATGGATCATGAATGTTCTACCAGAAGCTGCTTTTCAATCCCTGGTGGCTCTCAGATATGTTTCCTTTTCTTCTCTGATGTCTTGGCTGCTGTGGGCTCTCAGAATCTGAGAGTTTCCTGAAGGACTTGACAAGTCACACTGGACTTAGAGTAAAATCTTTTTAAAAAATCAAGCATTTATTTTTATAAAATATTTTTATAAATTTTTAAAACATTAATATTGGAATTTTCTATAGCTGATAAAATACACTGATGTACTATGAGGAAATCATGGCTTATGCTTCTTGATGTCAGAGAACAATTTTCCTGAGATTTTATTTTAGAGAGAATATAATAAACTCAGGCTAAGCACACTTTCCAAAAGATTAGAAAGTACCATAGGAAGACAAATCAGCTTTTATATATTTAACAAACTAGATGGTAAATCCTAAATCAAGCAACTTTTGCCAACTAAATGCTTTTGGACAAAGTTCAGGATGACATTATTATGACCTTTGGTTATTTTTCACTCTTAGTCTAGGGAGAAGTATTTCTGGGAAAGTATAATATTTAAAAGTAATTTTATATTCTTTGAAATTCTTCCTGATTCAATGTTTGCTAATATTTATGAAATCCATTTATTTATTAAATGGCTAATAATTCTGATAAAACATGTCCATTTTCTTATAAATTGTCATTTAGGGTAGGATTATGATGCTTTTTATAGAGGTCAATTGCCTTGAATAGTTAATTGGGGTATTTTCTGGGACTGTTCAGAAAGGAGAGAGTCAGTGTCTTATCCATATCTTAGCCTTTTCTTGGTCAGGCTTGGAAAAAGATCTGAGTTTGGACAGTTTTATCAGACTACACAATTTCTAGAATAGATTTTATCATTTAGAAACTGGATTTATTGGTATTGATTCAATACCTACTTGCATCTAAAAAATACTGTGAAGTAAGACACCATTCACTGATGGAAGAATTCCACTGTTTTGTGTCAGATTTGGTTTCTCCTCCTAAAATTATAAATTACCTAATTTGATCTCTGTCTACAAACCTTGTGTTGTAGGTATTGGCTCAGTGGTATACTAAATTTTTTACTTCAAGTACCTTCTTGCCAGAATTGCAAAACTAATCCATCATCTAAACCCTTTCAAATACCCAAAAGTTATCCCCAGGTCTGATTTTAGGCTTCTAACTACTCCCCAAACTCAAATCTCGCTTCCTCCCCGTGGGGCACTATGAAGAACTACATTGACTTGATTTACCAATCCATGGGCAGCCTTTCACCTGGGGCTACAGAAGATATTGAATGGGTTTCCTTTTGAGGTGTCCAGTGTGCACTTTCTCCTAAATATTAAGTCCCTGTCCCCAAATCTCCATCCCTACTAATATCTTTACTTATAAGATATAATTTGATTATATGATATCATGTAGGGCTTTATGATAGCACTCATACTTTCCTTTTCATCTTGAAATGAACCAGTATGTCCACCTTTCCCTGTCCTCCCTAGTCTCATGAAAGGAACCCCGCCCCCCCCCACCGCCCTTACTCCACTCTCACATCCCTACAAGTCGTAAGCCTGGTGTACAAGAACAGGGTGTGTTAGTCTGCCTGGGTTCATTTCCTAGCCCCATCCCTTCGAGCTGATGATTCCAGGAAAGTCATTTAATGTGTGTGCCTCTCTTTGCCCATCTATAAAATGAGAATAACTGCCTACTTCATTAGAATTTTATGGGGATGTTCTTTTTCTTGTTAATTGCCTCTGATTCAATTTGGACTCATGGTGACCCCATGCGTGCAGAGTAGAACTGTCCCCTAGCATTTTTAAGACTGAACTTTAGAAAACAGGTAGCCAGATCTGTCTTCCAAGGTACCTCCTCTAGGTGGAAACAAATTACAACCCTCTCAGCTGGTAGCCAAAACCAGTGTTTCCCAAAGTGGGCTTTCCTGCCCCTCTTGGGGTGCTGGGGTGATCCACTCATTGCTAATCTCCATCGAGCCACTTCTGACTCCAACCAGGTAGGTCTGAGAAGAACTACCTTAATGGGCTTCTGAGACTGGAAATCTTTATAGTATAGGAAGCATCCTCTTTCATCACAGGGGCAGCGGGTGGTTTCGAACTGCTGACTTTGTTGTTAGTAGCCCTACACACAACCCACTATGCCACTAACTCCTCTAGAACTATCCAGGAAGCTTCAAAAGCAGATAGCTACACTTTATCCTGGTTTATGGGCTTTGGTGCAACCATTTTTAATTTCCCGGGGGACACTGATTAATTATTTTTCTGAAAAGAGAGCAGCAGGCCAAAGGAGTGTGGGAGCCTATGGTCCAGAGCCTAATCATTTGTACCACACGGAGATTGGTGTTATGGGGAGATATACTAACATGTGTAAAGAACTTCAAACAGTTCCTAAGAGACTTTGAAAGCCTTTTAAAGGTTACCTTTTATCATGACTAATCTTTTCCAATGATACTCTCCATTACTCTCTGGAATGTTCAGTCTTTCTGCGCTAGACTCCATCCCTAGAAAAACCAAGCAAAGTGAACACTTCCATTTTTCATCCTTTTGCTTGACGCTGCTGCACATCTAAGACATTTCAAATCTCTCGGTAAAGTGATCTATAGCTATTTGATCCTCTCTGCAAACTCACCCTTTAACCACTTCTTGAAAGCATTCTGGCTTTCATCTCTACGCTCTACTGAAATTGCTCTCTCAAAAATAAACTGCTTGTCAGCAAATTCAGTTGAATTTTCTCTCATTTATTCCTCTGTAACAGTTGATCATTTACTCTGGAATTTTCCTCCTTTCTGATTTTTGGAATAATATGTATATTCCCTCTCCCAGACTGCACCTTACTTGTGTGTGTGTGTGTGTGTGTGTGTGTGTGAATACTTCGTCGTCATCTACCTCTTCTGTCTAATTGTCAACTTTAGATGGTCACCTACCTGCAGACTTTTGTGTGATAGTTCTCAATCCACAATTCAGGCTTTTGCATCCTCCACTGATATCTGTTTTCTACCTTCAGTTGCTTGTTTATCATTTCCCCTAGCATGTCACGTGGTCCCCTCAACCTCACTCACTTTCTCCCAAACTAGCTCTGCTCTGAATTTCTTACTTTTGTCATTAAAACTACAATTCTCAGTACCCCCAATCAAAATACAAGTCATCAGTTATACTTTCTGCTTTTGCATTCATTATCATTATTCATTCATTCATTCATTCATTCATTCATTCACTAGCTCCATATAAAAGCACCTTCCTTCTATCTTCCTTAATTGTGCAAACCATTCTATGACTTTAAGACTGAGTTTAAATTACTGTATCTTCTCTGATATATTCCCTCAGGTATTAACATTCAAAGTAGTATGTTTTCTTTTTTCAATTTCTGCCATCCTTGTCTTTGTGTACAACTAGGGTCATGCACAATTAATATGGTATTTTGTACAAGATAAATAAGACCCAAATATTCACAACTTGACTATTAGATAGCATCCTGATAAATGGAGAGAAAAATGAAGTTGTCAAAGGATTTCATATTGCTTGGATCCACCATCAATGGTCATGGAAGCAGCAGTCATGAAATCAAATAATGAATTGCATGGGGTAAATCTGCTACACAAGACCTTTTTAAAGTATTAAAAAGCAAAGATGAGTAGGGTGGCAGGTGGACATTGGGTCTCCTCATGCGCACTCCCCTAATACAAGAGCACCTTGCTCAGCTAAACGGTCATTTCATGATATCTACCTTCCCGACATGATCGCTGAAGACAGATGTGTGCAT